ATCATATCGATCAATGTGGATGAAGAAATCTCAGCTAAATAAAAAAAAAAAAAAATATGCCAAAGCATAAGAGCGATCCACCCACTGTCCTCCCCAGGCCCCCATGCTTGGGCATATATATTCTTTTTTTTTTTTTATTATCATTTCTTTAGCTGTGGATGATAAATCTAATTCAGCAGTGCTGCACACATTGATCTATATTCTGAGAACACATCCTGTTGCTGTAAAAATAAACAGATCGGTGCTGCAGCTGAATAACGTTTCTGCAAAGAAAACAAAATCCGTTAACAATAAAACAATGACACAGTAACTCAATAAAAGGACATCTAGCTTTGGCTTCTTTATTATTTTATTTTACCTTTTTGGGTTTTTTTTTGGTTACTGTAACATTGCAGACTGTGATTGTAGGGTCTCTCAAAATGTGATAGCCAGTTTCCTGACTACCTAACATCTTTCAAAACCTTGTCTAAGGGTCTAATACTCCATTAGTGTGTGGTAGCGACAGAAGCAGAGACCAGGTTGGCCAGGACAGGAGGGACAAAATAAGTGGGTGCCACGTCTAATTCCATGTCTGCTACAGACACAACCTCTCTTTTGGGGTGGGGTACCAGGAATAGCATCAGGAAAATGCCTCTCATGCAGCTGGCTTACTGCATCTGGGTTGGGGGTTTGGGGCACAGCACCTTCTGAATACAAAAGTGCCTTGATCTCTTCCTGGAATTTTAGGAAGGATCCACTTCGTCCAATTGCTTTGAAAAGCAAAAAAGCATTGTATAGAGCCAATTGAAATGAATATACAGACACTTTTTTTGTACCAGCGTCTGGCTTTACGGGAAACGAAGTATGGCTTCATGATCTGGTCTTTGAAGTCTACCCCTTCCATGTTAAGGTTATAGTCATGGACACAGAGTGGCTTCCCAACAACACCAGCTACCATGAAAATTTGGACTGTTGTGTCTGCATGAATGCAAGACAGGAGGAAAACATATTTTGTCCTTCAACTTGACTGTGAGCAATTCATCATTTCTCAAGCAGGCTTTCTCTCCCTTTCTAAGTCGGGTAATTAAAAGCCTTTTGGGTAGCCCCGGTGATTACGTCACACGGTGCCACATGAACCAATTCCAAGATTGTACAAATGTCTAAATAGTGGCACGCTTGCATAAAAATTGTCCACATACAAATGGTAACCCCTATACGGGACAAGGATGACCCCAAGTCCCAAACTATCTTGCCACTGCTCCCCATGTATTCTGAGCATCCGTGGGGTCTCCACTCTCTCATAAATCTGAAAATTACATGTATAGCCTGGCGCTCTCTCACAGAGTTTATACATTTTGACCCCTGGCACGCTTGCTAGGGAGAAACTGTTTGAATACAAGGCCGCCATTAAAATTAATTAGGGACTCATCAATGCAGATGTTTTGCTGGGGCATATACATATCTGCAAATTTCTGGTTAAGATGATTTTTGAGAAGCCAAATTTTGTGCCTATCACATTCAGGGTCACCCTGAGGATGACAGAGTGTATTGTCACTGAAATGCATAAATCGCATTATATTCTCATATCTATGCCTGGTCATGGCAGCAGAGAACACATGCACATGATGAATCGGGTCTGTGGACCAATATTACTGCAGCTAATTTTTTTTTTTTTTTTTAGTAATGCCCACGTTGAGGGTTAGGCCCAAAAAAACTTTAGATTTGGAAACCGTAATAAGTTTCCATGCAAATTGGCTGGCAAGGTTTAAATTTGGGTTGGCGGTGATAAATTGTTGAGCGCACACATTTTTTTGGTCCGCAATAAATCCATACAGATCTTCCATGAAAAACCACTCCAAAAATCTAGGGGAGTAATTACATTTGCTATTTGCACCTGAATTCCGGGTTGGGCAGTGAATGGGAAAGTACAGGTGGTGCAAAATTTGTGGGCCTTCAATCAGGATTTGCAAGCACATCCGCAAGGACACTATGGACTCTACAGGCCTGTGGCTGTGGGACACTACTTGTGCAAGCCACCACACCAGTTTGTTCTGCACTTGTGGAACTCGCCACATCACCAAGTGATACTGCAGTGCTGGTATGTAAAAGACCAGAATGTACTAGGCCGCTGGTGCTCGCCATTTCAAAAAAGGTAGTGCAGCACTAGTACTGGCATTGTGCTGCATATGAGAATTATGCAATTCTAATACCTCATCAATGTGGGAATGGGGTCAGGTATGCCTGACTATAGCAGGGACCTCTACTCCATCATCTGAGCTATCTGTCAAAGTGCTGCTGTTCTCTACAGGATCGTATTCTGAGCCTGATTCTGTCAGTGAGGCTTCCCCTTCGCTATCATCTGACTCAGAATTATGTAGGCCTGTACACTAGTGTACCTTTCGTTGGACATTTTGGGTACTAAATTTATAGGTACCTAGTGCGACTAGGACTTGGCTGTCAGGAACTGCTTGAATCGCTCCAAAAAATGTATCTGCAAGTGCTAACAGAGATCAGGCCTGATCTAGCTAATGCTGCACTTTTGTGTGTAAGGTATCAAGTGACAATCTACTGACACTGGACTTGGGGGGAGAGGGGATAATCACAGGTGCTGGCAGGTGTCAGGGCTGATCCTGCTAACGCTGCATTTTTGGGGATACTATACTATTGTGAATGCTATAGGGCAGACTTGAACTGGTTGTTAATCAGTATATTTTATAATCCATAATATTTAGGCTAGTTTCCTGTTTTTAGCACTTTCATTTAGCTATTAATATTCAACGTCAGGTCAGTAAAATTAAAGATATGTTTCCGTATACTGAGGAATAATGCCCTTTATTTTCAGAAAAAAATATGAAACCGTGCTCTGCAGATTAAATTAAAAGGGTTATTTCACCTTTTCAGAAAAAAAACCCAAAAAGGTTAACTAATGCCCTACACCCTCACCCTTGTTCCTCCACTGTACTTACCTGCTGTTGATGATGAGCTGTCATTGCTCATGCAACCAGCTTACTGGTCTAGGGATCATCTCCATACTGAATTTCTCTGATCCATTCCAGATAGATCACCAGTCCACTGGTTACATGGACACTGATATCTCAATACTCGAAGTAAGTATAGTGGGAACCAGGGGGGTGCAGAGGGTTTAGGGGTGTTAGTGCACCCTTTCATTTTTTTTCTGCAAACATGAACTTATACTTTGAAAGTTTTTAGTTCACCTTTCTGTCCCTGTTTTATGTTACTCCCATATTTAGGGTGTAACATAAAACATGGCAACATTCCCTAAACTCCAAGCCAGCACAACCATGCCTGTTGATCTGTGGACTTGTAATTTACTTCTTCTAGCCCCATTATAAAATGTCCTTCTGTGCAGACCTGATGCTGGAATGTAAACTATGCAGGAGCTTGTGCATTGCACCTGTGATGGACCTATCTCAATTATAATACTCTACAAGTTTCAATACATACGTATAATAATGTTGGTGCATTTATTACATTTGTGGAAAAGGTGGACTATATCTTTAATCACTTGCCATCCAGAGGATTTACCCCCCTTAATGACCAGGCCTTTTTTTGCTATTTGGTGCTGCACTACTTCAACTGATAATTGCGCGGTCATGCAATGCTGTACCCAAACGATATTTACGTCCTTTTTTTCCAAATAGAGCTTCCTTTCGGTGGTATTTGATCACCTGATCACTTTTTATTTTTCGCGCTATAAACAATATTTTTTTACTTTTGGCTATAAAAAATATATAGTAAACTCAAAGTTAATCATAAATTTAGAACAAAATGTATTTTACTACATGTTTTTTGGTAAAAAATCCCAATAAGTATATATTGATTGCTTTGTGTGTGAGTTATAGAGTGTAGATACTGCAATTTACGCCATATTTCTTTTTTTGCTACACAGCGCTGCACTAGTTTAACTGACAATTGCGCGGTCATGCAATACGGTACATAAATTTAATTTATGTCCTATTTTTAACACAAATAGTGCTTTCTTTCAGTGGTATTTGATCACCTGTGCGCTTTTTATTTTTGGCGCCGTAAACAAAAAAAGTTTTGAAAAAAAAAATATTTTCTAATTTCTGTCATAAAAAATATCCAAAAAAACCTAAAATTTCATATCATAAATTTAGGCCAAAAAGTATTCTGCTACATGTTTTTGGTTAAAAAATTCCAGTAAGTGTATATTGATTGCTTTGTGTGAAAGTTATAGCATCTACAAACTAGGGTATAGATAATGGAATTTACACAGCTTTTACTTTCTGACTGCCCATCACATTTCTTGAGATGCTAAAATACCAGGACAGTGCCCAAATGACCTCTTTTTGGAAAGTAGACACCCTAAGCTATCTGCTGAGAGGCATATTGAGTCCATGGAAGATTTATTTTTTTCCCACAATTTTTTGGAAAATGTCCAAAAAAAGTTTTTTTTTTTTTTTACATAAAGTTGTCATTTACATTGTATATTTCTCACACAAGCCATGGGTATATGTGTAATTACACCCCAAAATACATTCTGCTACTTCTACCGAGTATGGGGATACCACATGTGTGAGACTTTTTGGGAGCCTAGTCACATACAGGAGCCTGAAAACCTGAAGGTGTGTAACTTCCTCATTTCACTTCCTCACTACCTAACACAGTTTCAGAGGCCCTGAACGGCCAGGATAGCACCAAACACCCACCCCCAAATGACCTCTTTTTGGAAAGTAGACACCCCAAGGAATTTAAAAAGAGGCATGGTGAGTATTTTGCAGATCTCATATTTTCTCACAAGGTGTTTTGAAATATAAAAAAAAGAAAAAATACGTTTTTGTTTTCATTATTCTTTTTCCAAAAACTTGTGGCAACATACGAGATCTGCAAAATACTCGCCATGCATCTTATCAAATTCCTTGGGGTGTCTACTTTCCATAAAGGGGTCATTTGGGGGGGTTTGGTGCTATCCTGGCATTACAGGGCCTCCGAAACTGTGAATAGGTATTCTGAAAGTGTAATGAGGAAATAAAGTCCTTTAACCTCCCTGACGGTATTCCCGAGTGTAGCTCGGGGTAAAGTTTCAGTACCAAAAGCGGTAACCCCGAGCTACACGCGGGGCTTACCATGCAGCGCTGCTCCGGCATCTGTTCTTCACTTACCTTGTCCTGCGCTCCCGCGATGTCCCTCCTGCAGTGTCCCCTGTAATGTACTCCGGCGGATGCCGGCATCTGTCATCTGGGTTCCGTCCCCTGCGAGCGCCGGGACGTACGGAGGATGGAACGACGGAAAATTGGAAAATGACAAAACGTGATATTCACTAAATACACTAAAATCACATAGTAAAACATTACTGTATCAAACCATTTCACATACATTTTGTCCCAAGTGCTTTGTCCTGTGCCCTGCCTGCATTTTTACTGTTCTTATTGCCTGGTAATTGAGAAACGTCCATGGCGTCCAAAAAGCGTCCCTTTAGGTCAAAATCGGTTTTAGACCAGCTAGAGAACAGCGATAGTAAATTAGAACCACTTGCAGAATTGAGTGATAATGATTCGTAGGGAAATTCATCATCAGACACTGAAAACGATTTTGCGACTTTGCTCAGTGATGTGCGAACTTGGTGCTGTATTTCAAATTTCAGTGTTTTTGGTTTGATTATATTATTGAATTAAAATTATTATATTATTTTTTATGATTATTTATTAAATTATAATTTATGATTTCGTGTTTCAAATTTTAAAATACCCGGGATGTTTACTAGACTCTTGTTCGGGCAGATTTCAGTGAGTTATTCCTAAAAATTACAGGCCTACAATAAAAAAAAATACATATTTCCATGCAAAAAATTGTACCGCTTTGAGCACAGAAATACTGACATAATCAGACCGCTAGGGAGGTTAAAAGCTTGAAGGTGCTTTTTGGATTTTGGGGTCCTGTACTTGGCTAGACTGCCAAAAAGTCTCTCATGTGGTACCCCCATACTCTGGAGAAGTAGCAGAATGTATTTTGAGGAGTAATTCCACATATACCCATGGCATGTGTGAGCAAATATTCATTTAAGTGACAATTTTGTGTAAAATAAATATATTTTTTGTTGTCATTTTCCAAAAACTTAGTTTGGGGTGTCTACTTTACAAAGAGGGATCATTTAGGGGGGTGGGGGCATTTTATGCCCAGCATTAGAAGTTTATGCCACACATCATTCACTCTTCTAACCTCTTGAAGACCAAGCCTTTCCTGACACTTTTTGTTCACATGCAACAAATCAGTATTTTTTGCTAGGAAATTACTTTGAACCCCCAAACATTATATATTTTTTAAAGCAGATACCCTATTGAATAAAATGGTGGGTTCTGCAATTTTTTGTCACATAGTACTCACGCAGCAAATTTTCAAATGCAAATTGTGTGGAAAAAAAAATACTTTTTTTTATTTTTAATGTACAAAAACACAATATATTGGCCAGTTATTTGGTAAAATATAAAAGATGATGGTATGCCAAGTAAATAGATGCCAAACATGACATGCTTTAAAACTGTGCATGCCCCGTGCAATGGCGACAAAGTGCATACATTTTTAATATCTATAGGCTACACTTTAAAAGGTGGAGGTCTAGTGCTAGAATTATTGCCCTTGATCTGAATTTCGTGATGATACCTCACATGCATGGTGCAACCGCTGTTTACACAAAAGTGTTTTTCTTATAAAATTTTGCAAATAAATAATATTTCATAATACATCTTGGCCAAAATGTATTCCTGTATCTTTTTAGTTAAAAAAAAAAAAAAATAACCCAAATTAGTTTATAACCAAAAATTATAATTTTTAAACTTTTTCACTTTTTTTTTACATTTTTATTTTTTTATATTTTTTGTTTTTTTTTTTTCCATACTGTCACCCTAGCAGTACAGTGTCACCATGGTGACACTGTACTACATGGTGGGGGTGATGGTTTTTTTTTTTTTTTTTTACACTCATGCTTTTACACCCATAAAGGCTGTAAAAGCAATTATTTCTCCTTCTCTTTGGCTGCATTCTTGCAGCCGTTGAGAACTACTGTGTGAGCTGTGATTGGTCACAGCTTGTCACATGGTACAAGGTTGTTGTGACTAGCCTTGTACCATGTGACCTCTGTGATCATTCACAGATTTCACACGCAGTAAGCAATGATGTAAGAAGTGACATCTTGCTTACTACTCTGCATGTGATCACTGATTGGCCAATCAGTGATCACATGATCGGGACCTCGCAGAGAGGGACCATACGACGATCGTTGTTTCACTGTGTCTGGAGGACACAGCGGGCACCGGATCGCGGTGCTGCACGCTCCCAGGGAGCGTGCACAAGCAGGGGGCAGGAAGGCCGTTTATAAATGGCCACCCGACCCTGCACTGCCACCGTCCGGCCGTTTATATACAATGGCTGGACGAGGAGGTGGTTAATGCTATTACAGGGAATGCAAATATCCTCTATAACTTCAATGGGCATTCTCATGTATTCTTTTTTGAGAAATTTGGGGTCTATCAGATTCTAGATATCTCCTCTGCCCTTACATTATCTAATCTCAGCAAGATCAGATGCTTTCCCAATTTACAAATGGCGCGGTTTATTCTCAGTTTCCCCCGATGGCACGGGACTGCGTGAGAAGGCTGGGGAGGGGGGGGGCATTGTCCCTGCTGCTTGTAAAAGCAATCCTGCACCTAATTGGCTACTAGGATTGCTTTTACATGAAAGCTGATCGCCGGCTGAAAAAAGATACCAGAATGATGCCTGCAGCTGTAGGCATCATCCTGGTATAACCATTCAAAGTGCAGGGATGTACCAGTACGTCGCCAGTCCTTGTTGGGTATGTATGCTATGTTTTTTTTTTTTTTGTATGCAGCCTGTGGGCTGAATGAAAAAAAAGAGAAGAAATCTCTGCCAGAAAAAGTGTGTGCTATGCCCACCATTAGAATATACAGCTCTGCCTCTACCCACTTCTAATGGTGGGCACACATAAGGTCATATGGTGCCAAATGTGCCAATACCAAGATTGTACAAATGTCTAAATAGTGGCATGCTTAAATAACATTTTCCATGTATAAGTGGTACCCCATATCGAAAAAGCATTACACCAACTCCCAAACTATCTTACCACTGCTCCCCATGTAGTCTGGACATCCAGGGGGCTCCATGTCAGGGACGTATTTGCCACGAGGCAAACAAGGCATTTGCCAAGGGCGGCATTTTTAAGTGAGGTGTCCCGGCGCCCCCCCCCCCCACCTTTCCCACAGAAGGTACACTTAGGACAGGGGCTGCTGTGTCTTACCTGTCTCCACGACTCCGTGTCCCACTTAGATCCAGACCATGAGGCGCTACTGGAGGAGGGGTAGAGAGGTTGTCCTCTGGTCCAGTGTCTTCATCTCCCTGGATCGCAATGTGGGCAGGATGACATGCCGCCCCTTTCATCTGGCCACACCCCCAGGATCACTGGGCAGCCTGTCCCTCCCTCTTCAAGCTCCGCCTCCTCCCTGGTGATTGGCCTCCGAATCTGTAGCTCAGGGAAAGCACACAGACAGCCAGTCACTGGCAAGGAGGCGGGGCTTGGAGAGGAGGAGCCGAGCGGCAGCGCGAAGATCGAAGAAGCTGATCAGAGTGAGGGACCAGCCGGATCCGGTGGAGAGAAGGAAGACAGCTGATCTGTAAGGTAAGTGTCTGTGGGGCCGGGATCTGGGCAGAGTAGATGGCGCTGCTGCAGCCAGGTACGCTGGCTGTGTATGGGAGAGGGAGGCAGGTTGGGCTGGAGCAGAGGTCAGCAATGTAAGCATAATTGGTGTCAGTTGGAGGAATAGTGTCCTATCATTGGTGTTCATGTGGGAGGAATAATGCCCCATCATTTGTGTCACTGACACCAAAGATGGGGCACTATTCCTCCCATTGACACCACTGATGGGACACTATTCCTTGCACTGACACCAATGATGGGGCACTATTCCTCGCACTGACACCAATGATGGGGCACTATTCCTCTCACTGACACCAATGATGGGGCACTATTCCTCCCACTGACACCAATGATGGGGCACTATTGCTCCCACTGACACCAATGATGGGGCACTATTGCTCCCACTGACACCAGTTATGGGGCACTCTTCCCCCCACTGACACCAGTAATGGGGCACTTCCTCTCACTGACACCAGTGATGGGGCACTATTCCTCCAAATGACACCGATAATGGAATAAAATAAGAAGTGGAGCTCTAATAGGAAGAGGTGGAGCCTAAAGATGAAGGGTGGAGTTTACAGATGAAGGGGTGGATCTTAAACAGGAAGGTGTGGGACGAATTTAGATAGGGGGTGGTGCCAGATTTTAGTCTTGCTTAGGGCAGCACAAAACCAAAATACACCACTGCTCCACGTGACTATTTTTTCCCTCGTAAATCCGAAACTTATACCTATCGCCTGTTGCCCTCTCACAGGTCTTCTACATCTTGACCCCATATCTGGTACACTTGCTGGGGAGAAATTGTTTGAATGCAAGGTGGCTAGAAAAATTGAGGGACTCATCAACGCAGATTTTTTGCTGGGGAGTTTAGATATCTGCAAATTTTTGGTTAAGGTGATCTACAAGGGGCCGAAGTTTGTGGAGCATGTCAAATTCAGGGTCACCCCAAGGACAACAGTGTGTTTGTCATTGAAATGCATAAAACATATTATACTCTCATATCTATGCCTGGCCATGGCAGCAGAGAACAGCGGCATATGATGAATCAGGTTGGGCAGTGAATGGGGGGAAGTACAGGTGCTGCAGAATTTGTGCGCTGCCATTCGGGATTTGCAAGCGCATCTGGAAGGATACTTGGGGCTCTATGGGACTTTGTGAGAATTCTTGGTGGTTGCGGGACAATACTTGTGCTTGCCACCGCACCAGCTTGTACTGCACTTATGGGACTCGTAACGTCACCAAATGATACTGCAGTGCTGGTATGTGAAAGACATTGTACTAATGGCACTGGGAAGGAATGGGTTAACATGAGGGGCAATCAAAGCATTAACTGTGTGATAGGCGTGTTTTACTAGGGGATGGAGTATGTGTATTCTTCACTGTAAGCACACTGCTCAGCCATCCAGAGCAGTGTGCCCAAACTGACAGGAAGGAGGGCTGTTGGTAAAAAATGCAACTCTCCTCCCTGTCAGTGATCGCCACTAATCACTGGGTGCCAGCTGGTAATCCCCGTCTGGGACCCGGTGATTGACACCGGGGGCCGCGATCGGTGGCTCTGATAGGGCACGCCTACGCCTCCTACCCGGAAATGCAGAATGAAATATATATATATATATACACACACACGTGATATTGCGCACAGGTTGCCCTGTAAATCTACTATAGGGCGGT